TCATCAACCGTTCTAAACATTTTTTAGGACACCCTGTATATCAACCGTTCAATCCACGATTTACAGCCAACTGTTGATGGAGATAATTTCGAAGAATCCCACATTGGAGTAATACACAGTAGTAAAGCTTCCTACTTTGGTCAGCTCAAACCTTGTATTACCCGGATTTCTAAATTACATTTGTCAAAAAATGGCTGTCATAGTCTTTGTCAACAATTGGCTATTATAGTTGCGAAAGAGAAACTCGCTGGAGTTTTGATAAAATAAAGGCTGTCACACTTGCCTGTTTACTCCTTTCAATTTTGATGTCAATGTAGAGATTCTTAAAAAAACATTTCAAAAATTTTCCAGCCATTTTACAAAAACTGAATATGGAGTTGATGCTAGAATTTTGCTGGTTTTCAAATGGATTTCTCAAAAAAAAAGTCGCAGAAAGTTAGATCTAAGACTCAATAACCAAAAAAGACCCACCATTCTGCAGCAGTCTGAGGCTATGCACTTCCTCTCTGAAAGTTACGTATTAATGAACTAATTTAGTGAGAAACGTAAGCAGATAATTTTTGGAATTAGTGTGTTTCTCCTCTTCCACATTTTCAATTATCCTTAGCCATTTTATCCTGGACCCCTGGATTACGTTCCACAAGGTAACGTGTCAGCAGACCTCTAGAGTGGGAGACACTTTATCAGTAGAATACAAACATTTTTGAGATAATGTGGAAGTTTAGGGAAGAACACAACGGAGATAGGACGTTGTCTTCGTTCATACGATTGGTGTAAAGATACAGTGCGAGTACCATTTCCGATATACTTCATTTGTTTCGTTTTCTTTTTCGGAATATCATTTCCATTTACGGGATCACTCTCGGCAACGCTATACTCGCAAACTCTTAGACCTCGCAAACAGGTAGTTTTCTTGTCTATAATAGTTGAATAGTCCAGCAAAACTCTTTCAATTCATATACAATAAGTAGATCATTTTCCATGATTAACTTCTGCTCAGGGGATCATGCAAGGTATTCATTCATTTGGTGGAAGTTTGGCTCAATTTATTGCACCAATCATAACTACGTAAGCAAACAGTTCTGATCCT